ATGCAGCCTGCTGTTGCTCCAAGCAAGACGCTCGCTTGTATCTTGTGAGCTGTGTATGGGCAAATCTTTCATTTTTCTTTCATTACCCCGGCATGTACTGTCACTTAATTTTTATGTATGCAATCCTTCCTGACAAATATGATCTGCTGCCTGGTAATTCGTTTGACGTTCATTCTGTTCCTTGCTCTAATTATGGCTTGACACTGAAGCGGCCGCGCTGCCACAGCCGGATAGTACACCTGTCAGACGGGTTGTGGTACTGCCTAATGCCCTTTTATGCCAGTCTGATGTTAGCAAATACAAAGAAAGAAAAAAAAAAAATTAGATGAATATATTTGCATAAGCCCTGCGCTCAATTCATGGGTCAGCAGCCATCGAAATTACAGTTCAGGGCGGTTGCCAGGGCAACACGGCTACAGCAAGCATCCGAGAACACAGCCCGGCCCGCGCGAGGTACCGCACTCTGCTCCACGCTGCATGCGGCATTCAGCGTTACTTAAACAAATGTCTTAATTAAACCAAAACCAAGATCAGAACATTTCCTGCTGCGATAAAACCTATAAAGCTGGCAAATTACCCTTTCCTCCTCCCCCTTCAAGTCTACACATTTTTTAATTGCAGAAATGTTCTTTTATTTGGAAACCGGAACCAGCGCAAGTGGTGGACGGTCCAGTCTCTGCCTCCCCCGAAACACACACGCTTTGACTCCAAAGTCACTCACTTTGGCTCCTTTAGCTCTTGGCATTTTATCCACCCGCCTTCAGGATGCTATTGATTTGCGGAAGGGCAAGGTTTGCTCGGAAGAGGCTTATCTCCTGCTACAGCAGCTTTCTCCATTAAAAGAGAACAGCTCCAATAAAGGTCACAAGCTTGGCTTACATGTGCAGCCAGTTGCTAAGCCCCAATTTATTCTTATTAATATAATAAGTGCAGCAGTCAAAATAGATAAAATCATATTATTAGACATGATCATATTTTTGCCTGTTCAAATGATGTGATTGTAACTTGCTATAAAAAGGATTTATTTTCATCTGTTAAGTATAGTATACATATTCTAGGATCGCTTTTAATGCAAAGGGAAATCTCCTAATATTTTATGAAAATAAGTCTTAGAAGTGCCTCACCCTTTTTCTTCTTTTTGTTTTGGGACACGGACACAATAAGGCATGTACAATTTGTCATGCAGCCTGCTGTTGCTCCAAGCAAGACGCTCGCTTGTATCTTGTGAGCTGTGTATGGGCAAATCTTTCATTTTTCTTTCATTACCCCGGCATGTACTGTCACTTAATTTTTATGTATGCAATCCTTCCTGACAAATATGATCTGCTGCCTGGTAATTCGTTTGACGTTCATTCTGTTCCTTGCTCTAATTATGGCTCCCGTTCCTGACACTGAAGCGGCCGCGCTGCCACAGCCGGATAGTACACCTGTCAGACGGGTTGTGGTACTGCCTAATGCCCTTTTATGCCAGTCTGATGTTAGCAAATACAAAGAAAGAAAAAAAAAAAATTAGATGAATATATTTGCATAAGCCCTGCGCTCAATTCATGGGTCAGCAGCCATCGAAATTACAGTTCAGGGCGGTTGCCAGGGCAACACGGCTACAGCAAGCATCCGAGAACACAGCCCGGCCCGCGCGAGGTACCGCACTCTGCTCCACGCTGCATGCGGCATTCAGCGTTACTTAAACAAATGTCTTAATTAAACCAAAACCAAGATCAGAACATTTCCTGCTGCGATAAAACCTATAAAGCTGGCAAATTACCCTTTCCTCCTCCCCCTTCAAGTCTACACATTTTTTAATTGCAGAAATGTTCTTTTATTTGGAAACCGGAACCAGCGCAAGTGGTGGACGGTCCAGTCTCTGCCTCCCCCGAAACACACACGCTTTGACTCCAAAGTCACTCACTTTGGCTCCTTTAGCTCTTGGCATTTTATCCACCCGCCTTCAGGATGCTATTGATTTGCGGAAGGGCAAGGTTTGCTCGGAAGAGGCTTATCTCCTGCTACAGCAGCTTTCTCCATTAAAAGAGAACAGCTCCAATAAAGGTCACAAGCTTGGCTTACATGTGCAGCCAGTTGCTAAGCCCCAATTTATTCTTATTAATATAATAAGTGCAGCAGTCAAAATAGATAAAATCATATTATTAGACATGATCATATTTTTGCCTGTTCAAATGATGTGATTGTAACTTGCTATAAAAAGGATTTATTTTCATCTGTTAAGTATAGTATACATATTCTAGGATCGCTTTTAATGCAAAGGGAAATCTCCTAATATTTTATGAAAATAAGTCTTAGAAGTGCCTCACCCTTTTTCTTCTTTTTGTTTTGGGACACGGACACAATAAGGCATGTATCTTCCTTTTTTTTTTTTTTTTGGCATGCTTAAAAGCTCCAGTGTCATCAGAGAGAATATAAGCAAGCAAGTTTTTATTCGTAGTAGAGAAGTGATACAAGCAAGGCTCATACGCAACAGAGGAAACTGCCTGCGTAAAGACAAACAGTGGAACAGACGCGGTGTGTTCCAAAACCAACAGAGAGAGCTAAGCGCAAAAGAACTTAAACACGGCACTAAATACCGTAAAACTTAAAGAACTACTCAAGAATTAATGAACTGTACATACTGTATAGTCATCTATAGCATCGTAATTAATGCTAACAGAAACAAAGTTTATACTTAGTTTCCGTATAGTTCCTTCACGCAACAAAACTTCATTCATGTTACTTATCTTTTTATAAACACTGAAAACGTGTTCTTCTCAAAGAGGCCTTTTTCAAAGCACCTCAAATCATAGAGAGAAGAAAGTATGAAAACATGAAACAAGTGATGCATTTTAAGAACATACTTACAAAGGCATGAAAAAAGTATATGCTTGCTCTGATATTCTAGAATTCCTACTTTCTCTTATAAGATCATAAATAGAGCTTCTTTTTTGTAATAAATTAGTTCTCTTTGACAGTTTTTAAAACTATCTATTCATTTAAAAAAAATCTAATTGCAATTTTAATTTTACAGTGATGCACAAAATTAGTTTTCTGCAACACATCAGAAGGTATCCCTAAAAAACAAAAAAGCAAAAAAAACCCTGTGTTTGATATGTTTTAGAATTGATTTTTTAAATATTGATTGCCATGTGACAATGCCTTTAGGAAATATTGATAAAGCATGAAAGAGATCAAATACAAACCAGGTGACTTAACAAATGAGTATCAGAAACACCGTCATCAGTAACAAAAGTACAACTCAGGAAGGGGAAAGTATATATAAACCTTCCAAATTTCATCCCGTGATGTCTCGGAGCTTTTTTCAGTTATCAGTGAGAACCCATGTGAGATGGGCGAGATACCAAAGGAATTAAAAGAGGTTAACAGAGTGTCTTTATGTGGTGACACAGAGGAAAGCAGGAAGGGAGAGAGGAACCCAGACACTGTAAACCAGTCAACTTAATTTCAATTCCCAGAAAAATAATGGAGGTACATAATCATGTCAGGTGTAAAACACAAGGGGAGGGAGGGGGGGGTAAGAAAAAAAAAAAAGAGAGAGAGAAATGAACAGTCAGCATGACTACTCCAGAACTCCAGTGAGCTAATCTTCCATGGCAAGGTAACAGGCTTGCGAGAGAGAGAGAGAGAGAGAGAGAGAGACGCAAAGATGTTTCACAACTTTAGTAAAACTTTTAAGCAAAGTTACATAAAGTTTTGATAAAGATAGCTTTCGCAGTTTGCTTAACTGAAACTACTTCATGGATGCAAAACTGGTTGGAAAACAGTTCACTGTCAAAATGGAAGGCTATCGCAAGGGAAGTTCTGCAAGACACCCATTAGTTCCTGTTCTGCTCAGCACATCCATTAACACGGCAGACCACAGCAATGTAGAGTATGCTGTTACCTTTGTGGATGTCAAGAAGCTGAGTTGAATCATAGCACAGCAGAGTACAGAATAAAAATTCAGAGCGAGTACAAGTAGGAGAGTCTGGAAGCAGGACTCAATTCGGTAAGAATAAAAGCCGGGTACTACACTTCACAGAATCACAGAACGGCCAAGGTTGGAAGGGACCTCTGGAGATCATCTAGTCCAACCCCTTTGCTTCAGCAGGGTCATCTAGAGGACATTGCGCAAGATCGCATCCAGGCAAGTTTTGAATAGCTCCAGAGAAGGAGACTCCACAACCCCTCCGGGCAACTTGTGCCAGTGCTCTGTCACCCTCACAGTCAAGAAGTTTTTCCTCATGTTCAGATGCAACTGCCTGTGTTTCAGTTTGTGCCCGTTGCCTCTTGTCCTGTCGCTAGGCACCACGGAGAAGAGTCTGGCCTCATCCTCTCAGCACCCTCCCTTCAGATACTTGTACACACTGATCAGATCACCTCTGTCTTCTCTTCCCCCAGCTAAACAGGCCCAGCTCTCTCAGCCTCTCACTTCAGCAAGAACAATCAGCTGCACAGATAGACTAGGAAAAGACCTAGAGATATGTGGAAGGCATTAAGGAAACTTGTGTCTTTACCTGAAACTCAGCTCAAGCCTTAAAGGAAGTCCCTCTTTGGAAGAGATGAATCACGAGGGCTTTCAACACCTTCCTTACCTCAGACGGCAGTCAGACTCCCATCTCAGAGGAAGATGGCTGACCAGCATCTGCTAAAAGCGTTGGTAGCGTAACAGCGAATTTTAGCAAGCAGAGTGCAGACATACAAATACGCTATTTTGAGTGGAAAAACTGCATATGACAACTTACGTTTTGCTATAAACCATATACTTACCAGACAAGACCACGCTCCAGAAAAAATATCAAGTGGAGTTTTACGATGCAAAACGTCTACAGATTTTTTATTAAAACTCCAGGTGTTTCAACACTATTTAAAATACATATCACAGAAAACTTTACATGTGTCCACTGAGCCAAACCTCCATCATAACGAGAGGACTGATAACACTTATTTTGAACAGCAGAGCTGACAACTGTATAGCTGTACTTGCTTAATGTCTACAAGTATTTCCTTACCTAAGGAATGTGCTGCAGTGGTTTTAGAACTAAAAAACCGGCCTAATCCAAGATCTCCCAGCTTCACCACCCCTGTGGCTGTTATAAACACATTGGCTGGTTTTATGTCTGCAAGAAGAGAAAGGGAAAAGGTCAAAGCCACAAAAGGTTACCTGGTTCTAATACTGCAATAGAAACATAGCCTGGAGCTCCTTCTGCACAAAAGAGACTCGATCAGAACCATGTTTCTTTATAGCTTTGATAGGCTGAGTCTTTCAAGACTTCAAGTTCCGCAAAAAAAAGAGTATACTTCTCAGCACACAAGAAAAGCCAATGAGGGAAAAGTTGTAGGGAAACAGCATAACAGAATAGAGGCAACCTCTTTCACTGATGGAAATCAAAGAAATACTTAAATCTGCCTCCCTTTGGAAAGGGTAATTTTCTACAGGAAAGAGTACTGTATGACATGTTCCCTTCATGCCAAAGGCATATTACTGTCCTACACTACACAAATTCTGGGCTCTATACAGCATATTTTGTTTATGCAGTGTAAAAATTCCTTGAACCCAAGTACCCTAAGTAGTCACACCAGGGTTTGCATTAGTGAGGGCTCTTTCCCCACAAGCTAAAGTTAAAATGTTAAATGTGACAGATTCCAAATTTCAGCTACAAATTGTAAATTTAATTCAGGTAAAATTTGCAAGCTAGATCAGAAGATGTATACAGAAGCCAAAATGCTACCTCTCTCTTTCCTGAAAAAATTACTGAAGAACTCACTGCTTGCGAGGAGAAAGAAAATAATGAGCAGCAGAGATGGCTATTAGTGCCTTTTGGGATATTTGCATTTCCTGGGTCAAGTCCCTTACAAAGCATTTCATTTATACTGAAAGAAGCAACATAACTTTTGGATAGAGCCCAAAGTGATGAAAAGCTCTAAGACAAAGGATTCAAAAATAATTAATGAAAATTGAGAACAGGGTATGGGAGAAAGCGTGGAACGTATTTGTATTAATATTTCAGAAAAGCTCGCAAGACAGAAAAACTCTTCTAAACTCTCTGAGGTCACGGCTAATATAATGAAGGCTATTTCTTAGAGTTCATTGTATCCAGTAGTCTCAGCATTTTACTTCTGACACTTTTCTAATGGCAAGTTTGACACTTCTACTTAACATCAGTGTCTGGAATACAAAGCAGCTCATCTTCCTAATACCATACTCACTTCGGACTGAATCCTTTAACAGTGATGCAAAAGACAGAAGGAGAAATCCATCTTGCAAGCTCCAGCCTCTCTAAACATGCATTGGCTGAACATCAGCATAATTGTTTTTGAATGCAGGCGCTTACTAATTGGAACATTATATTATTATTCAGTGAAAAGAGACTGAATTAATGTTACCTCTGTGCATCACCCTGCGGGAGTGCATGTGTTCAACTGCACTGCATAACTGCACAAAATATTTCCACACCGTCCTTTCCGGGATTAACCGTTTCTGCTTTTTAAAATACTGTGGAAGAAAATAAATAAGAGATCAGTGAAGAAGTAACACACTTGTTTCATTCCTGGACTCATGTTAGTCAACTGCAGGTTGCTCATGTCTTCCAGATCTGCAGCAGCATGACTTTTCTCCTGATTAGCATTTAACTCCTTCTCTCTGCATGTAAACTTCAATGCAATTCACTAATTAACAACTATTATGAAAAATATGCTTAAGTAGGTTTGACATTTTTGAATGGACACCAATTACAATTAGCATTAATCTCCTTAATTGCCTTGCAAAACATATTTAATGCTTCAAAACAACAAATGTCTCAAATATTTTGCCTTAAGTAACAAAGGATCATTAAAAAAGCTTGTAAACATTTGTTATTGTACAATCTATCAACAACAATAACAAAATCAGTTTCTCTGTTTCAAAAGATTGCAATAGCATCAATAACGTATTTGTTCTTCTTCCGTGATCAGGTAGAATAATATATTCTATTTCATGCATAATAGGAACATTATATTAACTGAACTTTCTCTAGTGAGACACAAAGACAGTACAGATCAAGAGACACAAAAATTTGGAGAAGGATAGTTTTGTGTGCGTATATGCAGTGCCAAGCATAGCTGAGTCCTGATACCACAGACCTCTGGCCATCAATAGCTCTCAGATAAAATAATCATGACCATCACCATAGTACACACAATAAAGAATAGTGCAATATGTTTACCTAGAAAATTTAAGTCGTCTTCTGAAGTAACCTACTAGAAGAATAAACAGCCAGCTGTCTACTCCAGGGGAGGCTAAACATTATATATCTTCAAGTATCTTTTCACATTTCAAGAATGTCTTACAGTCATGTGGATGATGCCCCAAACTTGCCAGCCCTCCTTCAATACCTCCTAAAATTCCACTACTTTTGATTTGGGTCTCCAACTTCTCGTTGCTTATTCTTGTGCCAGATACTGAGCAAGTTCTTCCTCTACAGCATCAACAAGATACACACCTAATGCACTTCACAACTTCCGGTGGTTTAAGATTTATCCTCATTCTTTGATATACAAGGTAACATTAGATGACGACAATCTCGGAAATGCTGTGCACCCTTCTAGCTCTACAACTGCATTTCTCTTGTATCGTACACACCAGAACTTCCGTTAGAATCAAGTAAGAGCAAGAATAAAGGAAGAAATCCACTGAAAACGCCCCTTTTCTGCATCTTGTGTTTTTTCCTTTCAGTACAGACATCTGATGTCCATTGTCACATTTTATATTTTATGTGAAATGCTGCTAATGGTTCTTGTTTGACTCAAGTAATGGCAAATTTTAATTTTGCAGATCAGCTGCGAAGGGGCGTGACCGTGCAATTCCCCAAGCAGCAAATCTGACAGCTTGCAACAGTTTCAACCCAAAACTTGATAGAGAGCACAGAGGAATTACAGAGGGTGATGGATAAAGTGTTATATACACGCTATTATTTAATTCTCATTAAAGTAGTTATGAGTGGATATGCAAGACCACAAGTGATAATTTTCTAAATGTCATGTCCAATAAGATCTGCCTGACATTTACAAGGAAGTCCCAACTCTCCAGTGGGTTATCCAGCAACACTCTGCTGCACCAGCTTTACAGTACCTCATAAATAATGCAGGCAACAGGGGCGTGACAAAGACAGCCCCTGTTTTTATCACTCTCGCACCTTCAGTGTGTTGTTATTGCTGTTCCTACCACCTCTCGGAAACTGAAAATCCTAAACATAAGTTTTAATTCCAGAGAGATTAGGCGGGAGGGCTGGGGGATGGCACTGAGGAGGAAGCAGGCAAACTTTATTCATTCGATTCTGTTTTCAAGCTACAACATTTAGGAGGACATTTGCTTTCATTTCCTCTCATTTTTTACAGTTTGCTTTTTAAAACTCGAATTCAACAAAGATTTGGGCCAAATTTAACATCATTTATAAGACCTCAGAAAACCCAGCGCCTTTTCTTTATGCCTGCAACAAATACGTGGGAAAACGAACTAGACTGCAGAGCGCTGATAGACAGAGCAGAGCTCACAAATTACAGTCTTGTTCAAGCTGTCAACCTAGGAATCAACAAATTAAGTTTCAGAAAATGTAATTCCTAGTATGGCATAAAAAAGTAATTTTCAGAGAGTGAAATTACCAATCCTGATAGATAAATAGCCAGCTACATATTTACTACCAGGGAAAGTTTTAAACTAAAGCCCTAAACGACATAAGCATGCAAATATTTTATACGGTGATATCTGACAACTATGTAAGTAACGCTTTTTATAAGCCGAGATTTAAAAATCAAACAAAACACTTGCATGTCAGGATGGTCACAGCCCTAATTCTTGCTCTCACAGGGATCACTTTCTTTCCATCTTTAACTGAAGCTACTAAAAGCCTGCAACAAATTGCACGTTTTCTAGGATCTGTTGGGAAAAGGGTGAAACATACAATAAACCACAAGAAAAACAGTACTGAAGGATAAAAAACAGACAGGAGCTTTCGCCAGCCACACAGGTGCTTCGTCTCCAGGCTCTCCAGCGAGCACAGGCAGGACGGTGGTGACGCGTGCCGCTGCAGGAGGCTGCCTTCGGCGGGAGACAGCGACGTTACCTTCCACACGTACTTACGGCCCCACCAGCTCGTCCCCCAGGCTTGGGGCAGATACTGTCACTGTTAACTCTACGAACTGCCTGTGGATTCAAGTAATATCTGTAATCTGGGGGCTCTCACCAGAAACTTCTCTGCCAAAAGTCTATTCCCAGCTCTGACTACCCCAGGCAAGATTCTTCTCCGAAACGGAGCAGACTTGCATGGATACCGTAAATTTAGCCACTGACTACGGACTACATGGGTAACTTGTTTGACAGCCTTTGGCCTAGTGCCTCATAGCTCTGCTGGCATAGAAAACAAATCTGTTAATAAGATATTTTAACTGTGACAACAAGGAGGAGAAGAACTTTCCAAACATTCACTTAGGATAATTACAGAATAATGATGGCAAAAAAACAGGTAAAACATGGAGAGAAGGTTGAGAGTGCTAACAAACATGATATAACACATCTGTTCTCACAAGGGATGTATGTCTAAAGATTAACATGTCAAAGAAAATATAAAAGCAGGTGGTAACAGCTTAACTAAAGCTGGTTTCCAGCAATACAAGTATTCCTAAGAGCAACATAAGAGAAGAGCAAGCACTTGAAACATTTTCTCAATCCCAAATCCCTGCTGCAAAGAAAGTCAATACACTTTCTAAAACGTCTTCAGTGTGGCAGACAGGCTATGTGAATAGTATACCTAACGATAATTAAATATCCCCAATCACAGATTGAATGCATCAGCCTTGCAAAATAATATGTACTCCCCCCCACATCATGCTTGCTTGCTGCCCTCTGGAGCAGCAAGCAGAATCAGGCAGCACACCCTAGTGAGCGTGAAACGGCACGAGACCCTCGGCTTTAGGCCCTGGAATCACCCTGTCCTCGCAGAAAACTGCGAGAGGAGAATCAGACTACGTTTCTAGCACAGATCTGCTTTCCTCCAGAGCCTTATATCTTACATAACCCTGAAAGTTGATAGTACCTTCAGACCTGACATGTCCTTACCTTAATCATCTGAGAGAGATCACCAGCATCTGCCAGTTCCAGGACAATGTTGAGCTCATTGTCTTCGATAAAGGAATCCAAATACTTAATTATGTTGGGGTGGTTCAGTTGCTGCAGATTGAGAAAGCGCAAGATGAAAATTTGTGACAACGCAGTAATTTCAACTCAAGGATACAATACCTGTACCCACTTTTGTGATCATTATGCAAAATGATTCACAATAGGTAGAGCTACAAAGAGTGCTCCAGGCCTTTATACGCACACAAAAAACATCATAAATGAGTTCATTTATCACAAGCACAGCCACAACAAAAAAAAAAGTCTTTTTTAGAAGAGTAATCAGGGTCAGAATTGGGGTGAAATAGCCTCTTCCATTGTAAGCTCACAAAATATTTAAAAGCAATGTCCTAAAAGAAACTTGGTTAAGCAGTAACTGCTTAAAATCTACTTCTTTAAACAGAAATGAAAAAAAACCCCAATAATTAATTATAGTACTCCTTGTGGCCTCTCTGTCCCTGAGAATAAAAGGCAAGTAAAAATTTAATGAAAGGAAAATAACGCACAAATCTCACACAATATACTAGTTTATTTTTCTCATTATTTATGTCAACATCTTAATTTTTTTTAAAGTATAGCTTGTTCTTATATTCACAATTGGCATTTTACTTCTATTTCCTTGTGTGCTTCTTAAAAATTTGCATCTTCTCAGATGTAAAGGACAGAATTAGGAAAAACGACTTCATTAAACTGTTGTATAACCAAAACGGACAAACATTTAAGCTAGAAAGGGACCAAGTAGGGTCACACAAAATAAAAGCAAGCAGGTAAGTTGGAAAACGTATAACCAGTTTAGCGTCTGTCTCATTAAGCCACAGAAAACCTGTTCTACAACCTTAGTAGAATCAAAGACTGAAAAAAGTCTACGCTGATCAGACAGACGTACAATGCACAGATCTGGAAATACAGGACATGCTATCAAGCTTGCGTGTGAAGTTTCTCAGATAGATTAAATCCACAGGATCTAAGGGAATATCATTTTGAAACCACAATGATCTTATTTAAGAATCAGTCCACGCACAGGGGGCCAGCTGAAGACAGCCTCCATCACTGCCCTGCGCTCAGCACTCCTGGCCGTAAGGAAGTTTCTACTTTGAGGCACCACTTCTGCTGAATTTCACCAAGAAATTACCCCAAATGCTTAAATACTGCAACAAAAGACCTGGCTCACTTCTACCACACGCTTCACAATAGCGGAACAAACACGCATCTCAGATGCGCCCCCGCCAGCGGAAACGCTCGCTGCCCGTGGTATACAACGGGCGTACGTGTGCATGGCTTGGGGTGGGGGTTACCCTGTCACAGATTTCAGGCCTTTAAATAGCCTCTATTCCATAGAAAATAGAGCTTCAGATAATTTGCAGGCTAATATGTGCTATGAAAATATTTTTCTCCTGGTCTTGTTACGCTTTACTCACAGGACTAAAATAAGAAACAGGCTCAACAAATTAAAATTTCTGTTTTAATATTTTATGTCTGAATCTCTTAAAATAGAAAAACTGTAATTGCTTAGAAGACAATATCTAGATTTCTCTATTCTCTCGTGCTCATTTTGTATTACATTACCCTTCTCTTGCGTTCCTAAAAATGCAATAAATTTAAAAATTACAAAAGTAAGCATTTCATCTCCTGAACAGCTGTGACCCCAGTGTGTCTATTTCAGGGGTTAGGAAGCCAAAAGAAACACTGTTATGATCCATCATGCTAATCAGGCCTCTCTGCATGCGCATCAGGGGAGAGATGCGGCTTTGCAATGCCTGGACACTAGCTCGCATTAGCGCTAATGGAATCCATGTGCCGGCATCAAGAGAAGAACATTCCCACAAGACCCAGCTTTAAATAAATAAATAACGTAGTCCACCATTTCTGCTGAAATTTCTGTTAAATGTCTGCTCTCGGGTACATCGATCAAAGGTCAACTTCCAGGCAAAAAAGTGCCAAAGTTGGGAGCAGATACTGATGCCTAATGCCCGCTGGGACTCCTCGCTCTGCCACCACCTCACACAAGCCGTCTGTCACGGCACAGCCCACGCCAGGGTATCCCGCACTGCTCTGGGCTAACGGGAGTCGGTGATTTAGGAGTTGTTTCCTGCCGCTTTGCTTTTATGATGGGAGCTCTCGGAGGAGTTCCCAAAGGCGCTGGGGAGTTTAAGCAATCAAACCTTTTCCTAAACCTCGGCACCACGTGCCATTAAAATACAAAATCAAAACACAGTAACGGTGACAAAGACTGCGCACCTTTGGAGACCCGCGGCCGCTAGTACCTCCCGCTCCTGCACCCCGCTCGGGTCACGGCGGGTACCGAAACCCAACCAGCGCGCAGTCTCAAGCATGGCCGGGGTCTCCTGCCTGACCTAACACAACCGACGTAAAGAAGTTACGCGCATTTTCTAAGAGAGAGCGTGCGCGTGCTTTTTACTGACACGCCTCTTAGTGATTTAAAGAAAGCCATTAGATGTAAGGAGGGACACCTATTCTGTCACGACGAACTTGCATAAACGGCGCCGGGCGCACCCCGGGAGCCGCGCGGGACGCCCTCCTCCGCTGGGCAATAACGCAGGGTTGGGGTGTGTGTGTGTGTTTGTTTGTTAGACAATGTATTTCACCGACGCTTGAACGCTGTCTGCCCAGAACAGCGAGGCAAAGCACCTCGGGATCCAGCAGCCTGGCATAAGCCAGACTTCTACTCTTTATTCATTCTTTTCTCAAAATTCTATTAAAAAAAAAAAAAAACCCGACTCTGTAGTTGTTTCTGTATTTATTTTACATGCCTGTAGCTTGGAAAAAGCTATTTGAAATACCTTTCGTCAGAAGGAAACCACATTCATTTCTCATAAACCCTTAAACACACAAAACGTTACAAACGCCTTTTTTTGCGTTAACGACATTTTCCTATTTCTTTAGTACGCCCTACAAGTCTGAAGGCGGCTAACGCCTGATGCGCATGCACGCAGAGCTGCCGGCGCGCGGGTGAGCCCGGGTCGGCCCCGGCAGCCCAGATGCTGATTACAGCCGCAATACTGAGCTGCTTTCCCTAAATGTTTTAGCTAGAATTACACTGGAAGTAATATACAATTTGGTGTGGCTTCTTTTAAATCGGGAGCGATTCTAATCATTTCGCAAAATTATGAATTAATTTTCACCAAACAAAAATTAGTTTCCATGACACAAAGAAATCTTCAACCAAAAAAGAAAAACTTTTATTTTGACAGGGATGAACTATAGCAAGTCTATGCAATCCCTTCACAAATCCTTCAGTGGTCTATATTAAAATAAAAGCAAAAACAACACTCTTATGGCAAATTGTTTCAGTATCGGTTTACAAATACTTTATACTGGACACCAGAGTTTAAAAGTAGCAAGAAAATGTCAAAAAAGACGAATAACCCACATTGCACGGCCGGGCTCCGGATACAGCCGTGGGGCAGAAATCTGCCACGCGGCCACAGAACTGCCGAACTCCGCTAACCTGAGCAAGAGCTCGGCTCACACTGAAATACTGTGCTGAAACTGGTCCTTAGACACCGTACACTTTCCAGACACAAGAACAATTATCCTCCTTGATGAATTTAGGAAATAAATTATATTACCTTTTGATACAACAACACTGGGCAAATCTTGAAGTTATTGAGACTAAGTCACATGTCTGACAAAACCCACCTGTCCTGCTTTCCTGCAGCTGCACACACACCAGCCTAAAGGAGCCCCACGTTTACAAAGCTCACAGCAGCATAGCAAGAGATCCATGAAGTTTCCTCAAAGTCAGCCCAGAGGAGAACTTAGGTACCCTGCGGCGCAAACCAGAGTCTAGAGAAACTTTTCCTACTTCCAAGCCTGGGCTCTTCTGTCTCAGCTGCACGAGCGGGAACATCCACTGCCCGGTCCTCGGGATGAATTCGACATCACGCTCTGATGCGGCAGCTTTTAAGTCAAGTTTTGAAATACGACTTCTTGGGACCCTCCCAGCACATCCACGTATAGCCCTTCAGTTATTCATACGAAGCTGTGGGAACAGGCAGCCTGGGAGCTATCAACTAGCAGAGGATGAGTTGCAGATATTGATCTGAGGAGGTCTAGACTAGGCCTGCGGCACTGAGTGAAGCGCGTTCCAGCTGCTGACACTGACACGCTGAGGGTTGGCCAGCTAAAATCCTCCCCTGTCTCTAAACAAAACCTTGGAAAACTCCATGTGGCAGCCTGCTGGGAACGCCGTTGCACCTGCACCAAATTATCCAGACAGGCTGACCCGAACGACATCATTAAAAGTGCTTCTGAAGTCGGCAGTTTGAACTTTGATTACTTTTTACTTATTATCTGCTGATCTTCTCAGAAGCTGAGCTACGTACCTCCTGGATACAACTCAATGCATTTTGTTGGCTCTTGGTTGAAAACTAATACCCATTTGAAGGAAATCAACTACAGGTAATATTAATGAATATATCGCTTCCGCACCAGAAACGTGGTAGGATTTATCAAAATAACTTTTTAAAACAGATTCAGACTTCCAGATTCCTTAGATGGTGCTATGTAAATGTCCAAGTAGCAAGATTTGCTCACATTCAATAATAAATAATAATTAAACTATCAGCACAGCTAATGTTTTGCATAGTTACTAGTGTATTAGTGTGTTCAGTACATCGTCAGCAATTGCTCCCTTTCCTCCACCTCCAACCCCAAATAAACACATTTTCTGGAATGTTTCCTATTCTTTTACAAAATATTTTGCAAAACAATCAATCTGATTTTATCAACTAGTATTTTTCAAAGCAGAACTGTACTCTGCTGGTATAATGGAAGCTCACTCCCTCCAGGGAGCTCCAGCTACTACAAGAAAAATCATAAACAACAACTTACAAGCATGACAAATACGCTCCTCTTGCCTGGAAGAGCATCACGGAAGGTAAATAACGAGAGCGCAGTCACACAAACCGCTATCGACACGGTCATGCTGTATCTCTATGGTGCAGACTAGCAGTTCCTAGCTTTGTCTCCAACAGCATGAATATAAATTGACAATTTAAATAGAAACACTTATTATTTAATTCCCTTAGCCTGACTAGCTAAACTATTAGTTTATCTTTCAACAATCTGTTCCAGTTACTCAAACTAGAATTTTAAAATGCAACTCGTATTTTATACCAATGTTTTAAAATGTACTAAATTACTGAGGTGAAAAAATCACTAGTTAGTATAATCACTTAAAAAAACCTCTTTGATTTCACTGCCTTTTTCTAAGCTACCATTTTTTCTTGTGTGATATGCATGCATATACAAACACAGGATATACACATGTTAAACCAAGAGTGTTTTTCCCCTCATTTAGCCAGTTCACTAATTAGTTTCTTTTAAAGTGAGAAGGAAATCAACATTTTTAAGAGCAAGAACCTTCATGCCTCTCTGAGAGAGGAGTACTTCTATTTCAAATCCTTCTGTCATTAAAAAAAAAAAGATTTGTTAGACTCTCTATTGGCAGAGCACTTGATAAAATTAAGCTTTAGGATGAAACTCTTGTACCATAGAAACACACAGTGAAACCACGCAAGCTCCCTAACTTGCGAAAGAAAGTGTGGTCTACTAAGATCTTAACTGTGTGCCATATAAATTGTGTAAAACAAGGCAAGTGACAGTAGCCAACCTGAAAACAAGTTGTTTCCTCAAAACAAAAAATAAAAAAGAGTAATTGTAAAAATTCTTACCTTCAAGAGGTCAATTTCCTTAATGCAATCTTGTCTAGCCTTGGCATCCATCATTTCAAAAATCTTCAAAGACAAAAATGTCAAAGATTAAAATGAAGCAAAAACTTAAGAATTTCATATTTTAATGAGAAATTGGTCTTTCTTTCTCCACTTTATATATTCTCACTATAATGAGTACGTTGGCAACGCCCAGATCAAAGAAAGATCAATGTTATCTTTATTTTGAAACTGCTACTAGGCTAGCAATGGGGAAAAATTAACTTAGAACCTATAGGCAATATGCTAAGTAGAAGGAAAAGCGAGATGCTAGTTTTTGGATTTGTTGGTGTGACTTTCAACATAGTTACTTTGTTTATTTAATATTATTTAATGCTATTTTCATATAGTAAATGAAAGACAAAATTATGTTTATTTTTCTTTCAAATAACATAAAAACAAAGCTTCTACTGGCTTCTCTGCAATAATTAACAAGAGTATTGCGCATTAATATTCATTCTGTAATAATCACATTAAGTCAGTAGGAACAGGAGTTTAAAGGATCTGCTGAAGGATTAAAGGCAACTTTCTTCAAACAAAATGCTGTTCATAACACTGCACAATCATCTAAGTTACAAATCTATTTTGCATGAATATTCTTCAGAAATTTGCCTTAAAACTGTAAACAACAAGTGGAGGGATTTTTTTTCTTCTATTCCACCACCAAAAGCCCGGCCACTGAATATCTTCATTTAACCTATCAGCTGCTCCTCAGCTCCCATGTATCATGGTGCTCCTTAGAAGAGCAGAGCGAGGCAGCAGCATCTCCCCCTAACCTCACGTTCTCAACCATCTGCCCCATTTTGGTCTCTGGCTTTGGCGCTCTTGTCTTCTCGTATGATCGATCCATGGGAAGATGCCAGTTTCTCGGCTGTAGTCCTACAGCCATTTGGGCCCTGCTTTTTCACACGCGTTCACAAATAGTTTACTGAACCCTTTTTATAAAGTAAAAAGAGAAATTAAAAATAAATAGAAATTACATGACTAGTTGTCCACAGTTTTGATATTAGAAACATTAACCCACTCCCAGATCGCAAGGGATAAAGATCAAGCAGCGCGAACATCAAATTCCTGCCTGCTGGCAACAGAGACGGGACTCCCTAGGAGAGGCGCGCGGACAAGCGCAGCGGGTGCAGCCGAGGGAGGCGGGAGGCTCGGGCCGCAGCCTGACCGCTCGGCCTTTTATACCCACCTGTAACATAAGCACCAGGAAACTAACCTATTCTAATCAGTATTTGTAAAACTACTTTGAAAGTAATATTCTTTGTGGTATACTGTCTAACTGGAAGTAGAAGTAGAGTAAAAAGAAACTCTAAAACCAGACCACGTTAAAATAAGAAACCAAGGACTTTTTTTTTTTTTTTTTTTAAAAAAGACAGCAAGAGAAAGAGAAGCTCCTATTTTTCCTGGTAGCATCACCTACTGCTTACTTATCTTCCCCATTTAAGAAAATAAAAAGCAGATGCCATTCTCAAAAATATAGTTTACTTGAAGTCATACTTTATGCCCTCCCAAACTACTAATACTTAGATAATGTCCTCAAAAATTGGAGGACGTTTTATATATGTAAAATTGATATTTTACAGACCAGATCAACTAGTGGTCCCATCAAAGCAAACTCTCAGTTCCTTAACCATTTTATTAGATTATTGCTGCTGACAAAAGAATACTGAAAAATAAGAGGTATCTGATTCAGGAGTAATCTGTGTGGACCCCTAAAACGTTCCTGTTTCGCTTTGCTTGCATTTAGCAAGCAATTCCATTTAAATACTCACCTGAACTTTCTTTAATGCCACAGGTTTTCTGTCCAGAAGACAAGTTGCTTTGTAAACTTCGCTGAACTGCCCTCGTCCAATCTTCTTCTCTATCTGAAAATCTGCCAACGTGCAGCGATACGGGTACGACGTTAAATGTCTCTGCTTATTCAAAAGAAATACAATCAATCAATGAACTAGAAAAAGTGATTGAAAAGAAATAATGAACTCACATTCCTCATCCTTCTTTATGGTTGCTAACTAGCAATTTCTCTGTCTAATAACATTCGCAAGGATAAATTCCTCACAGCAACAGCAGAATTGCCCAGGCAGAAAGACAAAGAAATTTGATGCTGGTAATAGAAGGGACAACGGCACGGACTGGCTTCCCTCTTCCTCACTCGCAGTTTTCTTTGTCCACTTCATACCATACTGTACCAGGAGACGTCATAAAGTAAAGGTTCAGCATGTTACCACAAATAAATATGTGCATAAAAATAAAGACACTATACTGCATAAATTCTTGATACTTTCTGCAGGAGTATCACTTCAGTTGTCTGAACGAAGCACGTATATGATCTGCATGCTGAAATGGGACACCTATTTTTTTTTTCTTTTTTTTCCCAAGTCTCTTGCCCAACAGGCACACCAATTTCCCAAATTTTGGCCTTCAAGAGACAGTACATGGCCCACAGTCACTCAGCGGAGCCATAATAACCATTAGCATTACCAACCAAAAGCGTGGCAGGGATGCCACAGTGGGTCACATAAAAAAATATATATATATATACACACACACACACACACATATATATATATTCTGAGCTTTCAAATCATATTCAAAAACAATTCATTTTTCTCATGCATCACATAAAAGCATTTCTAGTTTCGTGAAGTAATGATTAATCCAAATTTTTGATGCACTTTTTGCTACTGGCTTAAAAATATTAACCATACTAAAACATAAAACTATTAGTAAGTAAGAGCTATCAAAAACGTACAGAAGAGAGTTTAGAACTCCAACCATGCCTATGTTTCTGCACTCATTTCTGATGACCAGGAATTTATTCTAGAGAAGTCTAAGCTGATCGTTGAACACGTTTATGGTCAAAATTATCTTTTCTAGTTAATTCAGCTGATGTTACTAGTGCATTTAGCTAAATGACTTTTTAAAAAGGAAATAAAGTCTTGCCTTCTGTGCAAGTAACTAATTAATCCCAAACTACTGTCTCTCTCGCTACACGCCCCCATCAGCTTTGCCTGCTTTGGTCACTCGGGAGAGGCTGACGACTCCCTTTGGAGCAGGCTCAGGTAAATACGCAGTTAGGCAGGTATACCCAGCGTAACAAGTATTATGTACTCTCTAGACTAGGAATTGCTCCCTAGAGCCGTTCTGGTCTCTTCTATAATTAACATGACTGCTAAACAATGTTTAAAAAAGAAATTATGAAAATTAATGACTTAAAGTTGCTGTGCATGCCAAGTAGACTATTTTTAAGCTTCAACATCTTGAACTATTTCAGAGTTCCCATCAAAAAATGCAAAGAGCAATTAGACAAGTACACAACTAAAATGGTGGGGTTATTTCCCAGGGATTCGGCTCTTGTTTACAGCTGAGTCTTTAGCTGACAATCCCCGCAGAAGCGTCCAGGAAGAGCAGGCGATGGAGACTGGGTATTTTAAGGAGATGACTACTGCGACTATTGTTACAGGGGTGGCATGGAGATAAGACTTCAGAGTGCAGGGAAAGTTTTCAGTCCAGCACCTTTTACTTGCACTACATGCAAAAAAGTGAAAGGCTCTGTCATGGTTTATATTTATTGAAAAGTAAGTAAGTTTGAGTAGCAGTAGTTTTTATTTCTGTCATAAAGAAAGGAAATCCAACAAACAATAAAAAAGGTATCAATCAAACTTGAAAAAGCTTCCAGTTTTAAAGTTGTCTGGGTGCTTCTGAACTACAGTCACAGTTATTTGGCAGAGGTTTTGTAAACAAAGTTGTAAAATTCAATGTTTTTAAGAAGACTCAGCAATAAAGTCTCCTAAATAGTAATTTTTGATCCACAAACTGCATCAATCAACTAAGCCATTTTGAAAACTGTCATCTTTAAAACACCTTCATCACAACAAACACAGGAATAAACCCACAACAGAATACTACTCTACTACAGGTATATTCAAGAAAAAAGATTATGTTTTATAAATACTTAAGATACAGAGATACTGATATAAATCACAAACTAGGCAGTGAAAAGACTATCGCTTCTTTTTGCTGCCATCTTCAGCCTTCCTCTCTTAGCCATACCATTATGTCCAGCCAATGTCTGCTAATTCAAGTAGGCACATAATTGGAAATTTAACCCCAGGGCATCATGATCATCAACTTTCTCAGTGCAAGTTGCCTAAAAGAGCAAAACCATTCCTTTTCACATGAGATGACACTCTGAGTTATTATTTTTGAAGTGCCAAAGCCACAGGTAAATTTTTCCATCTATCCTCGTAAGTCTTTAAATAGTTTCACAGTACTATCAGGAATGGATTTTATCTCCCCAGGCTAAAACAGTATGTTATTTTACTTCATGTACAATAATCTATGCAAACAATGAGGTTTTATTACAATTTGCAGTTATTCATGACGGTTAGTCACATGGAAATGGGAAGCTAGTTTCATCAAGTACTTCCTTTAAATTGTTCAGAGAGCGTTTCCCTTTTAAGACATAGCTTAGTCTACCCTATGCTTTGAAATGAACATTATTACCTACCTTACCTCACAGCCTCGGTTGGTCGGACAACACACGGGCTGCAATAAAAATTCGCGCTGTCGAGTAAAGGAACTTTCTGAACCCAGCAGCCAGGCTGATTTTCCACTCACCTTAGTGCCCATCTATCCAGTCTGTATTTCACCTATTTGGTGGTAAGGAGACTATGGGAGATACGTGTCAAAGGCCCTGCTAAAAACCAAAGTATACAACATCCAGTGCCCTCCCCTTGTCCACAGCTTACCGAGAGCAACGAGACTGGTCAAGCATGATTTGCACTTGGGTAAGTCCACTTTGCTGCTCCCAAAGACCTTCTAGTCACGTGTTTCAAAATGACTTCTAAGAGGATTTGCTCCATGACCTCCCGAGGGATTGAGGTGAGGCTGACCGGCCTGCAGTCACCCGGAGCCTCTTTTTTGCCCTTCTTGAAGATGGCCAATTGCAGTCATCAGGGTGTCCTCCAATTGCCATGACCATTCAGAGATGATAGAGAGCAGCCTTGCAATGGCACTGGCCAGCTCCTTCAGCACTCTTGGATACATCCCATCTGGTCCTATGGACTTGTGCGTGCCTAACTGGGTTAAGCGGTTCCTAACTCTATCATGCCTTCTTTCTCTGCCAGTTTAGTTTCACTTTAAAACAAAGTAGTTTTATTTCCAACAATTCAATGAGAATTGCCTAAACTTATTGTACAACGGAGGGCCATTACATTATGCACGGTGAATACACTCTTGGAATTTTGTATAGAATAGACTAGAAACTGTGATCAAATTTATTTTCCGGTAACTTTTAAGTCATCACAAATATCTGCCTAACCATATATACAACACTTACCCAAGTATAAGAAAGAAATCAAGGGTAATATCCATGTGCCCTTTATAAATCATTAAATTCTAAGTGTGTTTAAACCAAGAGTGTTTAACTGTAAATTAATATTTGAAGCATGTGCCAAGAAATATCTAGCAACTTCCTAACTTTACTAATATTAATTTATATTTTCAAGTGACAGAGTATGTGAGTATCTCCTAACCACTTTCACATGGTTAGCATATAAAGTCTGCTTGCCATGCTGCAGTTAATGCTGGGTGATGACTGGACACCTCAGCTGATATGTTCTGGCATCCTCCAGGACTACAGCTGCACATTTACATATGCAATGACCCAGATTTGCATTTGCTATCACAACCTATCAGACCTAATTAAAATAATGGAGCTTTCATACAGGCTAGAAGATGTTTGACTACAGTATAAACTAGAGAGTATGCTCAGGCTACACCAAACCTTATCAGAGAGCTCCCTATTGATTAGGGCACTCCATGTTCCCGTATGTCTATTTAAAATCAACGTGCTCTTATGTTTTTTTTTTTTTTTTATGTTAAACATAAGCAGGTAACTCTTCTAAAATACTGTTATAAAACACACACACACACACACTTTGCACACCTAACAAACATTCAGCTCCTCAGAAAACCAATCCCATGGTCTGGCCTTATATACCTTTCACTTATTTCATGACTTTTGACAAGGGGAACGCCCTTCTTTTTCCAAGTCCTTCCCAGTTTAACTGCTAGTATTTTCCATAAAGCTGCTAAAGAACCAATACTTACCCATTCAAATAAACTATGGTATTTATAATTCTCAGAGTTCTATATAAAAGATACAAACTGTGCGTACAATTAAGTACTACCATCATCCTCAGATCTATCCACCTAAACTAGATTTTCTCATTTTCAAGACAGATTCAGGCTCAGTGAGGAGTTAAAGCTTGTATGGGTATAGAGGAACCAAGCACCTGTCTCTGCAGAACATATTTCAAGCACGGTGATTGGGGGGGGGACAAAACAACAACAAAAAACACACACAACGCTTTTGGGATTTTACAGACGCTAAGAAAGTGCAGCTATTTGAAGACTTCTATTCCCAGAGCAGCTGTAGGAAGCAGATAGTCTGGGAAGAACTAGTTTTGAGACAAAGGCTGCTCTCTTTAATCCACACAATGAAGTCTCATTCTTCTACTACTCCATAAAAGAAAAGAAAGAAAAAAAAAAAAAGAAAAACCCTAAAGATTAAAGTCAATTAATTCCTCGTTCAAATAAAGAGGCTATTCATTTTTAAGAAGAAATGCAGAGATTATTCCAAGAACAAGTTATTCTGGCATACATGTTCTCTTTTAGATGTAATCATTGATGCAAGAGCAAAAGTTTCAAAGCTGGCAGAAGTATGCAACGACAATGTCCAAATACTTTAAAGCATAAGTTAGCCAGAACTTGCAGCCTCCAGTTTTGGTGTTTTACGAGACTTTCTGCCAAATACAGTTAGTAAAAATAAATAAAAAAATAAATAAAATAAAATATAAAATTATAGCAGCATAAAAAATAAAATGACTGAATATATCTGCTGCAACGACAG